AGGGAGCTCATTCAGTGGGTCTGATGTGGTGGATGCTGGCTCGGGAAGTTCTGCGCATGCGTGGCACCATCTCTCGGGAGCACCCGTGGGAAGTCATGCCTGACCTCTATTTCTACAGAGATCCAGAAGAGGTGAGCGCCTCCATGCAGTCTTGTGGGTACACGAGCCTTGTAACAACTTCCTTTGGTTTGGGGGAGTAGAATTTGTCAGTACCTGTAAACCTTTTCTTTTTTCTTCAAAAACAAAAACAGATTGAAAAGGAAGAGCAGGCCGCTGCTGAAAAGGCTGTGACCAAGGAAGAATTTCAGGGCGAATGGACTGCACCTGCTCCTGAATTCACTGCTGCCCAGCCGGAGGTCGCAGACTGGTCTGAAGGCGTGCAGGTGCCCTCTGTGCCCATTCAGCAGTTCCCTACTGAAGACTGGAGTGCTCAGCCTGCAACTGAAGACTGGTCCGCAGCCCCCACTGCTCAGGCCACTGAGTGGGTAGGAACAACCACTGAGTGGTCTTAAGCTGTTCTTTTAAATCTCTTAGAAAATGGAAATAAGGTTGACGGAAATAAACATCAATTTCTAAAGAATAGTGTTTATATGTTTATTTTTTATTCCTGATAAGATATCTGGAGGTTGCTTTTTTAGGTCTCTTGTAAGTCTCAAGTGGTTTTAACCTGGGTATAAGTTTTTTATTCCTGAATAATACAGATTCAAAGTAAAAATAAATAATGAGTTGAACTTTAGAAAATATGAGCTTTCCCCTGTCCCTTAACTGATACCTTACTCTTCAGGGTCAAGGGCTGGAACACTCCGAACTGTCAACGTTCTCTGCCTACTATTGATTTGTTAAGTGCCACTGAGTTTCAACTCATAGTGACCCCTGTGTAGGGGTTCTGAGGAGCACCTGGTAAGTTTATTTCACAGCATCACCCCAGGACTGTCAGGTGGTAGTTTTTGTTAAACTTCATATTTAAAACTAGTTGGGATTAATGTAACTCTCAGAGAGCTGTGGGTTATATTCTGTAAGGCTGTCGGGATAAAGGCTTGTACACACTTGTGAAGAGTATTGCAAATACTGATCAAAGACCAAAGCCTTTGTTTTATGGGTTGCACCGCATTGTAAAGAATGAAATTCTGAGCGCTGGACCAATAACATAAATGGAGAAAAGAGTAAAGTTGGCAGACTTCATTCTGCTTAGATCCGCCATCAACATTCATGGAAGCAGCAGTCAAACCCTTTCTCTGGGCTCCTTGGAGAGGTCTCTTGCATTAAGGTGTGGTTAAAAGTGTTCTTTTCCTATGCAAATCTACCATAAAATCTGGCAAATTATGGTAACAGATTTAGAACAAGAACTCTAGGTGTAAACTGATACAATTTGGCATTTTTTGATAAGGAGTATATACCAGATTCATTTGTGCAAGGATACAGGCACAAGAACATTAATTGACATCAACAGTAGTCAAATTGTCATATACCATCATGACAGGCAACAAGGAAATGAGCAAAGAACAATTACAGTCACATGTGTAACTTTGGACAAAAGAAAAAATTATTCCTGTCATGATTTCATTTGTAAAAAGTTCAAAAGTAGGCAAAGGTTAGATTATATGCTTTATAGATGTACTCCTTTGTGGAAAACATTGTGTGAAAACTTTATGGTGTAGAGGCAATAAGCATCCAACAATATAGAATGTGTGTAGTGTAGTCAACACAAGGAGCAAATAAATGGTGATGTGTGTGGCTAATTGAAGATGGTTTGAACCCAGTGGCTCTGAAAGAAAGACCTGATGATTTGTATCTGTTAAGTGCTGTCGAGTTGATTCTGACCCATAGCCACCCTGTACAGGGTTTTCAAGGAGCAGCTGGTGAGCTTGAACCACCACCCTTGCAGTTCAAACGGCTTGGCACATTAGCCCACAGCACCACACCAGTACTCCAATGATTTGTATCTAAAGGTTGTTAAATGTCTGAGTTGGTTCTGACCCATAGTGACCGTGTATAGGGTCTCCTAGGAGAAGCTGGTGAGCTTGAACCACCAGCCTTCCATTTCAAACCAACTTTGCCATCTAGCACATTAACCCACCGTGCCAAACCAGAACTGATAAGGACCAGGAAAATTCATATGGGAAATTTTATTCTGCCATGGGTTGCGATGAGTTGAAAACTAGATGGCACCTAACAATAAAGGAGATGAAGTGTTTCAAGTCCCTTTTTAAGAGACTAAAACACCAAATTTAGTATACAACTACCTCATCCATATACCCATCATACACTTGGACACAACTCCGCGGATGGCATTTGTGTCATCCTGGATGGAAAACTGATTTACTGTGCAGTGAGGAGAAATGGCCTTACAAAAAATAAAATGGTCTAAAAGTCTAGGTTCCTGGTATCACTGAGGGTTTACTGTTTTTGCCTGGTTTGGCCAGGGAGCCTCAAAATTCTTGTCAAAAGAACCTTCACATAACTGAGGAGGATGAGTACCGGCTTATATAAAGCTATGGGATGGAAAGGATCTGATGGAGCTGCCAGTTTGGTAACAAAGGGAAGAGCTGTACTGGAACTCCGGGTGGATGAGGAATTGAGCAGAGCTCTGACCCATAGCTACCTGTATAGGGTTTCCAAGGAGCAGTTGGTGAGTTTGAACCACCGACCTTGCAATTCAAAGGACTCTGCAGTTTGCTGCATTAGCTCACAGGACTTGGCTAAAAACTAGGCCCAGGAGGGCAGAGCCAAGCTGAGAGCCACACTGATGGAACGAACAGCTGAGCTAGCTGAGAATAGAGCAGTTGTCCTGATTGAGAGAACTGTTCAAGAGTAGCACCAATAGGCGGCATTTCTGCTGTAAGCTGCAGATGCAATGGGAGCATTCCTGGTTGAAGAGCTTCCTGATTGGTGAGAGAGAACATTTGTTAATTGGAGCATAAGCTTGGCCCCGTCCAGACATACCCTCAATGCATATATTGTTACATCCTTCCTGTTTTATTATATTAAAATTGTGGTCTCAGGCATGGTGTTTCTAGTGAGATCTGTGAATCATTTCAGTGACTCAGACCACCTGATCTGAAGGGAGAGTATGGAACCCCTGAGCTTGTGGCTGGTACCTGTGGATCTAGCCGTAGATGGCATGTGATGAGATAACCTAGTTCTGAATGGCTAGGGGTGAGCTAGAAGAGCTGCCTGGGCAGCTGGGGTCTGAACTGGCTAGGGAAAGGAAGCTGTGATTTCCAAAAATGAATGGACTGTGTTACCCACTACAATATTTGGCATCAGAGGTGGGGTATCTTCATTTCCCTGGACTGGTTTACACAATTGACACTGAGCAGGATAGGATTGTTGTTGTTAGGTGCCATCGAGTCGGTACCGACCCATAGGGACCGTATGCACAGCAGAACAAAACACTGCCCGATCCTAGGCCAACCTCACTACTGTTGCCACACTGGAGTCCATTCATGCTGCCACTTGGCCAATTCATCTTGTTGGGGGTGTACCTCTTTTTGTCTGACCTTCCACCATACCAAACATGATATCATTCTCCTGACAATATGTTCGAAGTATGAGAGACGAAGTTTGGCCATCTTGGCCTCCAAGGAGCACTCTGGCTGCACTTCTAACAAAACGGATCTATTGGTTCTTTTGGTACCTGTAACACCATAACTCAAAAGCATCAATTATTCTACGGTCTTCCTTATTCACTGTCAAGCTTTCGCATGCATATGAGGTTATTGAAAATACCATGGCTTGGGTCAGATGCACCTTAGTCCTCAAGCTGACATCTTTACTCTTCAACGCTTTAAAAGGTCTTGTGCAGCACATTGCCTAATGCACTACATCGTTTGATTTCTAGACTGCTGCTTCTTTGAGTGTTGATAGTTGATCCAAGAACAAAGTTCTTGACAGCTTCAATCTTTTCTCCATTGATAAGAATGTTGTTTATTGGTCCAGTGGTGAGGATTTTTGTTTTCTTGACATTGAGATGTAATCCATACCAAAGGCTGTGCTTTTTGATCTTCATCAGTAAATGTTTTAAGTCCTCTTCACTTTCAGCAAACAAAGTTGTATCATCTGCATATCACAGGTTGTTAATGAGTCTTCCTCCAATTGTAATGCCACATTTTTCTTCATATAACCCAGCTTCTCAAGATTATTTCCTCAGCATACAGGTTGAATAAGTATGGTGAAAGAATACAGCCTGTCGCACACCTTTTTTAATTTTAAACCATTCAGTGTTGCCATGTTCTGTCCGAACAACTGCTTCTTGGTCCAGGTACAGATTCCTCATGACCACAATTAAGTGTTCCAGAATACTCATACTTGGCAATGTTATCCATAGCTTGTCATCCACACAATCAAAAGCCTTTTGCGGATTTAAAATTCTTATACTCAGTGCAAACTCATTCAGCTAATAAGGTATATATAGTAGCTGCTCTGTGTTGTCAAGTCAGATCTGCCTCAGTGGCCTTGTATAGGGTTTCTGAGGTGGTAAATCTTTACGGGAGCAGAAAAATCTCATCTTTCTCCCACGGAGCACGGGTGGATTCTAACTGCTGAATGTGCAGTTACCAGCCCAATGTATAACCCACTGTGCTACTGTTGTTAGTTTCATTGAGTCAGTTTTGACTCATAGCTACCCTGTATAGGGTTTCCAAGGAGCAGCTGGTGAATTGAGCCGTCATGCTTGCAGTTCAAACCGACTTTGCAGCCCAGTGCATTATCTCACAGTGCCACACTGTGCTACTAGGTCTCCTTAAAGTATAGTAGAAGTGATGCTATGTGGTTTCCAGGATAGATCATAACAATGTCATTCCCTTTTGTTGGGGTAACTTGAGACATTTGCTATTGAAACACAGTCATCCTTAAAGGAATTAAGCCGCTGAGGAGAGGCCCACAGAAAGAGGAACTTAGACTCCCAACCCAAAGGCTGGAAAGGCCCACTGAACTCCCAGCCAACAGCCAGCACTAACTTGCCAGCCATGTAACTGACCTATGTTGAAAGTGGATTGTCCAGTTCCAACTGAAGCCATCCCAGCTGATGCAATGGGGACCATATTCAAGTCACTTCTGTTGAGCTCTGTCAAAATTGCCCATTTGTAAGCAAAAGAAATGTTTGTTGTTGTAAGCAACTTAGCTTTAGGAGAGTATTAACTCAGCAATAGATAACTGATACATTGGAAAAATTCTAGAAGGTTTTTCATTAAAGTCAGAAACGAATTCATATGTGTATTTATTATAGCAATGATCTTATCTGGCAATGTAATTGTTAGGTACTGTGGAGTCGCTTCCAACTCATAGTGACCCTGCACAGGGTTTCTGAGGCTGTAAATCTTTACAGGAGCAGAAAGCGTCATCTTTCTCCTGCGGAATGGCTGGTAGTTTTGAACTGCCAACCTTGAGGTTAGTAGCACGATTCTTAACCACTACGCTACCAGAGCTCCTTATGGATAATTATATATGGGATATACATACAACTGACTTTTTCCCTTGCAATTGTATAATAAACACTTCTGCATGGTATTAT